CCTGAAACTTTAATAAACATTTCAAATTTTGTCCCAAGGTAGGCCTTTTAGTACTTGACATTTCAAAAAAAAAAAATTAAAATCGGTTCACAACTTCAAATTTTAGGGGGGTGTTTCCATTAAAAATGGGTCACACTGTATAAACTGTCTGTTCAAAAAATAAGGTGAATTTTCATTTTTCTCAAAAAATATTCATTTGTTCATCAATTTCTATTTTGTCTTCTTCAAAGCAGCCCATCTCAGATATAATAAATACACTTGTGCCAGCCTTTTTTTAATCTTCAAAACAGTTCTGATATGCACTTTTTGTATTTTTTTTTATTTCCTCAATCGTCGCAAAACGCGGTCCCTTCATGGGTCTCTCCAATCTTGGTAACAGAAAAAAGTCGCAGTGGGCCAAATCTGGTAATCACGGTGCCTGAGGCATGATAATGGTGTTATTTTTGTCGAAAAAATGGATGATTACCCACATGGGAAGTGTTGATGGTTTTATTGAGGGGGGTTTATTGCTGTTTGGGTAGAAGCATTTTGGCGATTACCGTGAAGTCATGAACAGCCATGTGTTTGAAGAATCTTTCAAGCAAATTTCAAACCTCATTCCATTAAACTATGTGATTGTGATGGATAACGCAAGATATCTTTCCAGAAAAATTGAAAGGATACCAACTATAGCATTTTGAAGTTCAAATAGTGTTTCAAGGAATATGAAGTCGACAAGATAGCACAGAAAGAAAATATCAGTATTCTGCGTCTGCCTTTTCATCATTGTGAACTTAATCCTATTGAACACGTTTGGGCTCATGTGAAGGGTTATATTTCAAGAAGAAACATGACATTCAAAATAAAATTAAGGACTCCTCAAAACACGTCGATCAAGAAAAATGGCGAAAATATATTGAAAATGTTATAAAAGAAAATTAATATTATGAAAGATGGGAATATGTGCAACTTACACCATTTTTTGATGAAAGTGTAGAACCTTTATTCATAATATTCGACGAAAATTCATCTATCTGGTGGACCGGTTAAATAATGTTAAAGACAGTTAGAAGACAGTTTTATTTGAGATTAGGATGTTGCCAAGACGTTCGCGGTGAACATTTTGAACATCTACTTCGTTAACATCCATAGTTCTTTTTTGTATTCTACATTTCATTACGTTTCGTTTTACGTTTTAGTTTTTGAGTGTATTTTATCGAATTTCGGTAACCACATGATTTTAATTTATTTTATCTTAATTGTTGCAATAAACTTGAAAGCGATAAGATTTTTGAATAGAGAATGAAGAGACCTTTCAAACGATATATCACAAGCCTATACTTCCTATTTAAAAAATTGGGGGTTATACCTGTCATTCGACGGGGGTTGAAGGTGGGGGTAGCATTTTTCAGTTGAAGTATGTCAAATTATAATATGAATTTGACGTGTTTCGGAATTTTTTTGAGAAAATATGTACTGTAACCGAAATAATGAATTTATTCCATTTGGCTTTTACACACTGTATATTGTGCTGCAGTACTAGGAGTATAATACATCTCTGTATTTCTATTAGATTACATTTTATTTTCTTTGAGCAGATGCATTATCGTGATTCAAAAGCCACGGATTACTTCTCAGACTCCTTATTTACCGTACAACCATGTGACAAGAAGAAACAGTGAGCAAAACCTTGATATTTGATTGAACTTGGCGGGCTTTTTTTGGTCCTAGCTCTCCTGGGGACGATTGGATTTGTGTTTCGATGTCATGATTCGTCACCAGTTCTGTCTGTCTGTAGAGTAGGGAGGGTGATTTTAGGCCCATAGCACTTAGGTCACATGTGACCCATCGTACATCCTCCCGATGAGTTGTCCTCCTAGGTCATCGTCCATTACTGTCGTTGCGCGCCTTCTTCAACCTTCTTGGGGTTCCCTCCGTGGTGGTGCACAAGTGAGGGAGCTTTCCTGCAGGGGCAGCCGGTTACGTGCCTTTATTCAAGGCGGAGGTCTTGGCGCTCGCTGCAGGAAGTGCCCTTGCTGTTAGAGATGGAGTGAAGGAGGAGGAGGGTGCACTTATACTTGCTGCCACTTCTGCCTCCTTCGCACTCTTCCTCCTTTTGGCCTCGGCGCCGCAAATGCGCTTGAGCCTTGGCCTTTGGAATACATTACGAGGTGATCTGCCATGTCCAGCCTCATTCCAAGTCGTAGATTGGGGTGGACCTTTCTGTTCATCCCCAGCCACCGCCTTTGATTGAGGTGAGTACTTCTGCCCAGCCTCGGTATTGGTTTTTGTTTTTGTTGTTTCTGTTTTTGTCTTTGTTTCATTCATGTGTGTTCGAACATTCACCTGTTAGTTAGGGAAGCCACAGATTATGCTGTAGACGACCCCTCCCGATATAGAAAGCCCCGACACTCTGTCGAATGAGGCCCTCATGTCCCCCGTTAACGGATGAATAATTTTTTCATCCATCCCACCCCAGCCAGGTAGGGGTATCCCGTGAAGGGCGGCACTGATGTCTAAGGACTTCATGCCGTCATCAATCAGTCATGAACCCATTGGTCCTTCTCGAGACCAACAATCAGTCAAAAGGGTAGGGGAGCTGGACTCCAAACCTGAAGAAATTGAAGATGACATTCTGTGAACATTCACCTTATATTTTCACAGTCTTCTTATGTGGAATCGTAGTTTAATATTTGCTTAACTTACATTTTTCATCCATATTCAACTTCGGATACTCTTTATCATTGCAAGGTTCCGAAAAGGTAATATCCAGAGAGGACAGGGATCCCAGATAGTTTTTATCTGCCAACCATTTATCAATAAGAGTAAACGTGGTGCGAAAACGTTCCATGGTTAATCGAATTAACTGCTCTGATGGACGATTTTGTCGATGATAAAATGGACGTAGTGCGCGATACGTTTTCCGCACAGAACCATTATTTTCGAAATAAAATTGCACTATTTGCAAGCGTTGTTCAGGCGTGAGTCTATTCATGATGAATTGTCAAACCAAACTAAGAATAAATCACTTGACAGCTGTCAAATCGGTCGCCATCTTGAAAAGTAATGCCAACTTAAAGTTCTATACCTCTATAAAAAACACCCATTACTTTAGCATAATTTATATTGAGCTACTAATTCTTTGTTAAAACTGTCCGTAAGTTTATGAAGATATACTTCTAAAGAATTCAGTTTTGGAATTGATTGGTGACAGTGGGCTTTCCAGTCGGGGAACTTCTAGAATGATTCCTAAGAATCTTACGTTGTGATCCGTATTTGTTAGGGTTACATTGTTCACCGTGAAATACATGTTTACCACTCTGTTTTGCCAATTATGAATACGAATAGCTTCTGTTTTGTCTGCATTGAATAATAAATCATTGTTATTGAAGTAATTTAATATCCTTCTTACTATCCTGGCACAATTGTTTTCAAATATTTTTTAATTTGGTGTAGATAAAACTAGCGAAAAGTCATCAGCATAAGTGGTATAATGGCCTTCGATACCTACTGATTCGATGTTGTTTACATAGAGTATAAACAGTAGAGGACCCATTATTGAACCCTGTGGCACACCCATACTTAGATTCAGACATTCATTCAGTTAAATATGATTGGCCAGTGTAAGGAGGCTTTGTTTATTTCACTCAATATATGCAAATGTGCGTGGTGATAATGTTTTATTTGATTTGTTTGTTGGACGGATGTAGTTTACATTCACAGACTCCCAAAAATGCTCGATCAGGCGGCATCAGCCGCGGGACGTCTTGATTCGTTCAACAAACGCAAATCTCGACAAGGCAACCCAAGCCAACTAGAAGATCGAATCGCTGACAGGTGAATCGCGTTCAGGCGTCGAGGATTTGAGGCGGTCAGTGCCGCCGCAGATCACATCGCGAAGAATCTTCGAAGTGCGCGTTCGCTTGCTTAAGAAATCTTCGGAAGTCGCGGAAGACACGCGCTAGATGCGGACTGTTGATGAGGTTTTTTTATTTGAGTTTTATTTTTGATATTCGTTCGTCGGAATTTTAAGCACGGACTTGGTTTTTTATTGCTTGGTGGTGAACTTTTCTGAGTTGTGATTCGGTGGGATGGTAGCGGGGAAGTTGAGAGGTGAGTCGGATATTTTGGTTGTTGGTAGAATATTCTTGAGGGTTTTGAAGATGGTGGAAGCTTGTGCAAGGGCGACCTTAAGATTTGGGGGAGGCTCAGCGTTGAACCACGATTTTTTCGAAGATTTTTTTGCTCCCTAATTTGTAACGATTTATTTTCCTAAGAAACATGCCATGTTTATAGCGTGGAGAAAAAAACAACTCAAAAACTAACTATAACATAACTAGGTACGAACAGAGCACCAAAAAAAAGATAAATCAGAACTGAAGACAAAAATAAAAATATATATTATTTAATATACCTAAGTATCAACATACACATAAATGCACTCATTAGAGAATATGTCTATACAAACAATAATAATTTTTTTGAATATTTCGGAATTTTTGTTCATTAATTTTTTTAAAGCATTAGGGAGCTAATTGTAAAACTTGATATCTTTATAATAAATCAAATTTTGCTCAATTTCAGATTTTCTGAATATTGGTGTTGGTCAACATTAATTT